TGGAGTTTTGCGACACCACTGTTATTGTTGTGGCGTTTAGAAGCTTCTGTGCCGATGGAGTGTTTATGTCTTTTGCCCCCACGACTTCTGATGGGTTTAAGTAACTGCCAAAATTTCCGAGCCGAAGGTGCCTGTTGCAAAAGAAACTGAAAATGCAAGTGTTCTCTGTGTCGGGGAGAAAAAACCTGTGTCAAGTTCAGAAATGAGCTCTCGGTTGCGCAGAAATCACTCTCTCTCCTGAGAAATAGGTTGGGGGGAAATCCACCTTTCTTCCTCTTCCTCCTCACCCCCTCCCGCCAGAAAAGAAAATCTGCACTCAATGAATTCTGCAAAATGTGGGGTTGCTTTGCGACGGAAATTGCTCTTCCACCTTGACTCACAGGCAGCCTTGCGCTCACGGAGGCTCCCCTCCCTTGCTTCAGAAAATAAAGATGCCAGCGGCATGCTTTGGAAAGCTGCATAAGGGATGGGGAGTGGCCATCCCCTGGGAATGCCACTGTGGGGCAAGGCAAGGCGCAGAAAACAGGGCTCAGGCGAGGCCGTTTCTGCAACTTTGCGAAGCAGCCGCCGAGATTCTTCCCATGACTGCCGCAAGGGGGTGTGAGGAGGGTTGCAAAACCCCAAATCCCCTTCTTGAGCCCCTGTCCCAGGGGAAGGAGAATGCAAAACCCAACATTTAGGGCGAAAAACCCAAAATCTCCTTCTTGCAGCCCCTGTCCCCGAGCCCCAGGAGGGCTCCCTTATGCCATGGAAGCATAGGCCCCATGCCTTCAGTGTCTCCATCGTGAAGAACCGAGCCTGGGAGGCTTTGCAGAATCCACTTCGATCCTTGAATAGGGGCAGGTTGTCCAAGCAGCTGGGGTGTCGTGCTGCCTCCTCTTTCACCCTCACAACAACCCTGTGAGGTGGGACTAGCTGGTAGAGAGGGACACACACAAAATGGGGGTTGGGGTGGCTTCCCAAAATATCTGTAATGCCTATTCTGCCCAACCCCTTCCAGAAATACCATTTCTTCTTTGGAGTAACTCCTTGAATTAGTTTCACGGGGGAAGGAACAGAAAGGTGGTTTGTGGGAGGAGAAGTAGCGTGGCTTCAGATCAAGGGAGGTGTCGCTGCCACTCTGTGCGCCTCTGGTGCGCCCGCAACTGGAGTATGTGCTCAGTTCTGGGCCCCTCGTTACAGAAAGAATATGGCCAGGTTAGAGTCAGTGCAGCACAGGGCCACAGGGTTGGTGGCCGGTTTGCAGGGGATGCCGTATGAGGCGAGACTGAGGGAACTGGGTCTCTTCAGCCTGGAGGAGACTCAAGGGGATATGTTGGTGACGTACAGGTATGTGAGGGGGTGTCACACGGAGGGGGGCAGAGACCTGTTCTCCCCTGCGGAGGAAGGCAGGACGCGCTCCAACGGAGCCAAGCTCAGGGAACCCAGGTTCCATTTGGATGCCAGGAAGCACTTCCTGTCAGTTGGGACCGCGAGGGGGTGGAATGGGCTCCCACGGGAGGTAGTTGAGGCCCCATCGGTGAGGGCGTTCAAGGGCAGGCTGGACATGCACATGGAGCTGGGGGTCAGACTAGATGGCCCGGGACACCTTCTGACTTGCTCTGTTTCTCTCTAAGTAGACGCTCTGGAGAAGAAATTGCATTTCTGAAAGGCGTTAGGCAGGACAATAAACACTTTGGGCTCTTTGAAGAACGCCTCCCACTTGCTGTTTTGCAGCGCTGGTGCTTTTTTTGCTTGCTGGTGATGGGACCAGAGTCCCGCAGACACTTTCTGAGCTGTTGTCAAGCAAATTTTGGAAACAACGGAAACACCAGCAAGCCCTGCTCACCCTGAGCCTACAGTAGGCCTGGGTGAGCGAGCCGAGCCTACATCACGTTTCCCCACCCTGGCATTAGTCTGGAGGTGAACAGGAACTGTTCTCCCTCCTGCAGGCTCCCCAATTTTTGCAATCTCCAAGTTGCAGATGCCAGATTTCCTAAGGTGCAACCTGAATTAGAAGTGGCCCCCAGCAACCGAGAGCCGAGGAAAAATATACCTTGAAAGAGTACTTCTGGCACCATCAGCTTGGCACTCTTGCCAGTTCAGAATTAGCTTTGTTCGAAAAGAAAACCAGTCCCTAAATAGCGCTACCGCTAAAATATCATGTCTATCGTAAGCAGCGGGAAGAATAGAAAGCAGCCGAAGTTTTGGGAGCAGAGCAGCTGCCTTGACCAAAAATAGCAACAAGTTTTATAACTCCGGAAAATTTAGAACAAACAAACGCAGAGCGTTTTTTAGCCGAGGGAGCGCGAGGGAGGGAGTGTGAGAGCATCTGTGCTTTTCTGTTTTCCTGGAAACAGCCTCTTGCGTTCTCATACATCTCCGGCGCTCTGACCAAGTTGGCGCCTTGCCCGGCAGCCAGACATAATGTACTGAGCATCTCTCTCTAAGCTGAACAAGCTGGTGCTCTCCGGAGCTAATAAATTGCCTCCGGCCACAAAACGGCTCCCGATGAGCTTTGAGCCGTCGCACTCGATTCGTGCGGAACTGGGAAGGGGACCTATCCGACTCGTGTTCATGGTGCTGTGGAAAGGGCGATTCCTCGGGGTAAAGCACTTTTCCTGCGTCCAGAAGATATGAGTGGGGCATTTCCCCCTCCCCCTCCCCCCATTCCTGATTAAAAATACCCCATGCGGCCACAAGAAAACCAAGGACCGAAGGACTGAAACCAAGTTCGGTGCTGTCCTTTCAGCAGACCTCAAGCTTTTTCACTTTTGGATGACTTTCTGCGTGTTTTGGCACACTGCAGCGCAACAGCCCGAGTGTTTGTGTGGCCCACGCTGTTTCTTAGCTTTTATTAGCCACAATGGGGCGAATTGTATTCTAAATATGGTGTGCATTCTTGTTTTCTAACTTCTTTTTTTAAAAAAAAATATTGTTGTCTTAACATGAATAGAATACAGAAAAAAAGATATGTATGTATATATAGAGAGAGTAAAACAGAATTGCCAAGGGATTTTGAACAAACAAGACCAATACATTCTAGCCCACAAATTTCAAAGAAACCTGAAATATCTGTCTTTCTGTCATTCAATATTTTATGGAAGCTCAGAAAAAAGAGAATTGTTCTTCTGTATACCAACAAATTTTCCAGTCACTTCAAAAGCTTTCCAAAGAGCTTCCTTTTACATCATGTTAATTTTTCTGGGTAGAATAGAATTTCCATTTGTCATTAAATTCTTCAGTCAGTATTCTGTTTACATAATTAGTTAATTTTGCCATCACTGCGTACTCTGCCAACTTATTTTTCCAGTCTTCAACGTTTTCTAACTTTTTGAGGTATGCTGGGAAGGGTGCAATATAAATAGATCCAGCGTTATTTCGGGTCGGAATTAAAGCTTGCAGGCAGAGGGGGTTCCTGGGGTGCCCCCCCCCCAATGATGTTATTTTAATGCTGCTGCCACAATCTGGTGGCCATCCATTCTTGTTGGACTGCCAGTCAAAAATTCTGAGTTCTCTGACCCCTTCCAAGTCTTCGTCCCCAATCTCCTTCCGGCCAGAGACTCTGGGGTTCGAACCCAGGCCTGCTGCATGCGAAACAGGTGCGCCACTCCTGCGCAGTCGCTGCCCCCGTGACCTGGTGCTTGTGGCTGTGGGAAGAGAGGAGGCTTGCTGGACTGCCTGGAACTTGGGCTGCAGCCCTTGCTCTCTCCTCCTTACGAGCTTCCCCTACTAATTGTTAAAGGGCCTTCAGGTCGCGAGTCCCAGCGCTCTCACTCATGCAGCTGTTCGAAACGAAAACAGCGCTCCATCTGTTTTCTGTTTCTAGCAGTGCTAATGGTTTTGGTCCCATAAGAAGGAGAGTTCTTAAAATTAGAAACCGGCCTGCACTCTCGTCCCTTTGAAGCTGTTTGGCTCATACGGGGTGGACCAGGAATGGATGTGGCGCATTTCTCGCTCTGGCCTGGGGCTGAAGGGGCACGGCGTCGCATGGGTAGCGGCCGGGGTCTTTCTGACGGAGAGAGACGGCTGCTCCCAGGCGGAATGCTGGCGCGCGGAGGGCAGCAAGCGGCTCTTGTCTTGTTCCGCTCCGTCTGCACATTGGTTGCCCCTTGCCCGGCTGGCATGGCCCCATCTTGCACTTGCAACATGTTTGGGGTTCAAAACTCTTCTGCGGCATTGGTGAGGCTTGAGGAGGGGATGCAGGAGGGATGCTCAGTGGCAGAGGGCACGTGCCGTATCCAGAAGGGTCCTCAGCCCTGTCCTGGCACCTCCAGGCAGAGGTGGAAAAGGCCTCCCCGTCTGCAGCCCTGCCGAGCCAGTGAAGGCAGTGTGGAAGGTGGAACTCCAGATCATTTGGATTTCAAGTCCCAGCAGCCTCTGCCAGCACGGCCTACTTTCTGCCATCCCTGGTGTGCACCAACCATCCCTAACTCTCGCCACCCCCACCCAACACCCATCATCCGCATCCAGCACAGGGAGCAGGGAATTATAGTCCGGCACTCCAGGATGGGAAAGGCTTGGCAGTGCCGGATGGCTCGGGAGCTTCCCGGGAAGGCCTTGAGTGCGGGCCTCCCCTCCAGGGTTGGCAGAAGGCTGGTGGGGTTTTCTGCCTTGGGTAGCCACATGTTGGAGGCGGATTAGAAGAGGACGGTGGCCAAGCTTTCAGACTCCCGTGCCTTTGAGAGATGTGGGAATCACTTCTGGGCCACCTGCACACAAGGGGGCGGGGGGTGTCTTAGCCCTGGGCTGGCACACGGCTGTTGCAAGGTGGTAGCCCAGGCCTGCCCTTGTGCCTTACCTTGGAGGGGTGACCTGCCGCCAGGTGTGTGTTTCCACCTTGGCCGTCTGGCGCTCCTGCAGCATGCAGGCGCACTGTTCTGCCGTGGTCAGCGATGGCCTGACCGTGCTCTGTTGTCCTGCCAGGAATCACCCGCTGCAAAGCCAGAGGTTCCTTCCGAAGCACAAGCTGCAGAGGAGTCTGGAGATGAGCAGGTGCCAGCCAGCGCGAAAGAGGAGGAGCAGTCCTTCCTGGTCAACCTCTACAAGTTCATGAAGGAGCGCGACACGCCAATCGAGAGGGTGCCTCACCTCGGCTTCAAGCAGAGTATGTTCCTCAGTGGCTGGGCTGGGCTGGGCTGGGCTCGGCTCCTTCGTTCCCAGAGGGTGCCTTCTTTCTTTGCTGTGTGTGGACGAGGGCCGGGAGGCAGCTGCCAGGGGGCGGCAGGCACAGGGCAGAGGGGGCTCCCAGCGATTTCCCTCCCCAGTGCATTCAGAGGCAGGGCAGGTTGCTTCCCCAAAGCATTGTCCTCCACTCCAGTCCGCTTCTGTACCTTGAATGGGGGTGGGTGCCACTTTTTCTTCCTCCAGAAGTGCAAAATACCTCGGACCCCTCTGGACTTTCACAAACGCACCTTGTGGGGATGGTTGTCAAACTCCTCTCCAAGGCACCTGCTGGCATCCAGGCCATGATTGTGGGATGGGCCGCAAGGCGCGGATGCTGCACGACGGCAATCTGAACGGGCTGCCAGTTTTCAACCCTACTGTTCCCAAAGCCTTTCCTGCTGCTTATTCTGCAGTTTGTGATACATCCGGTCAGGCCCCGCCTTGGTTTATTATATTTATAGGCCCAACTCCTCCTCCTTTCTGTCCTCACAACAACCCTGTGAGGTGGGTTAGGCTGAGAGTCCGTCACCAGTCCCAAGTTGGTCAGTGGGCACCATGGCCGAATGGGCCCTAGGCCCCGGATGTCCCAGTCCAGCATTCTAATTGCTGTGACACGTCAGCGGTCATTTCCTGCAGAGAAAACCCCGCATCTTGCGCAACTGCTCGCAGCGAGCGGGTGTGACTTCTGTGGAAGTGGCCGAGCCTTTTCCCCGCTCCCTGCACCATGGCACCTTTTCAGGCCCTGCGTGCAGGAAATCCCATGTTGGGCTCGGCTCTGTTCTGCCCCTTTCGGCCTTTCCCTGGACTCCGGGCCCCTGGACTGCCCGTCCCCGTGCCAGAGAGCTCCGTTGTTCTTCGCCAGTCTAACCATGTGCCACTTTTCTCCTTTTCAGTTAACCTGTTTAAGATCTACAAAGTTGTGGAGAAGCTTGGCGCTTACGAACTGGTAAGGAAAAGCATGCTTCCGCTCCTTCAAAGTGGGGCTGAGAAATTCTGAAAACATTTCGTAAGTTCAGTTTCCCTTCTGGGGAATGGGAAGAATATTGCAGTAGAGCTGCTGCCACTGTGAGTGGCACTAGGCAGAATAAAAAATTAGAGCAGGGAAGTGTTTGCTTCCCTCACCCCAGGAATGTCCTGAGAATCCCTAATAATGATCGTGTGGGGAGCCAGTATGCCTAGTGGTTAGAGCACAGAACCTGGGTCTCCTGAGTCCCAGTCCATGCCCTCGCTCAAGGATGTCCTCACACAAGGCATTTCCAGTGCAAATGCTGTACTCTTTTTGGTGCCCGCTGAAAACCTTTTTCTTTGCACAGGAACTTTAAAACCCTTTATATTTATAGCTGTGATTTTCCCATGCATTTTTAGCTTGATGTGACAGTTTTGTGTTTCTCAATAATATTTTCTGGCAGCCAGATCCTTCTTCTGGTACCTCATTATATCGCATGGGTTTTTAGGTTGTTTGATGTTTCTTTCCTGGAAACCCTTTTGGGGGAGGAAGGTGCACTTTTAAAAAGTCCAAATGCAGAAGTAAAGGTGGACCTGCAGCCCTCCTGTACCAGCTTGTGAAACCCCCAGCATTCCCCAGATTCCATGGATGCCTGGGGCATGCTGGGAATTTTAGTCCAGGAGGGGCTCAGGTTGAAAAAGGCTGACCTATACTTGCTTTGCTTGCTGTCTGCGGCGTGGACTTGGAGTTTGTACATCAGCACAGGTGATCCTGCAGGTAGCAGACGGAACCTGGGCTCAGGGAGAGGTGTTTTTCAGAGTGGCAGCTGCACATTCTCCATCCCTTTGTCAGTCCAAGTGGCTCTTTCCCCGAAATGCTAAAAAAAAGAGTATTTTCCCCGGCTGATGCAGCTCACCTCACTGTGTTCCCCCAAGAGCGAGGTGAAGATGTGCCCTGCACCCCACACTGATGGGGACGGTGGGTATGCCAAGTAGCGAGACTCACGGTGCTGGCCAAAGGGGGCTGCGGGGGGAACTCCCTGAAGCCCAGGACGGGAGGTGCGAGAGGGAGCAGATTGCAATACGAATATGGCGATTATATTTTAGGAAGTGACTCAACAGCCCCTGACAAAGGAAATTCTGTTTTTCTGGCTGTCTCAAGGGGGGCTCTCTGGAGCTGATTTCCTTCGATTGGCTCCCCTTGGGCTGGGGCAGCATTGCAGGCCCCTCCTGCAGACCCTTCCAGGGAGACACGAGCTGCCTGTGCGCAGAAGTCAGCAACAGATGGGCTGGTTCTGTGACCTAAGCGGGCATCGGCGGGGAGGGTCCAGGACCCCCCTTTCTTTGGAGGCCTTTGCTCTCCATCAGCATCACTTGGCAGCTTGTGGGGGCAGGTGGTTCCAGTGGCAAACCCCACACGAGACCGGAGGTGTGATCGGAGCATTGCAGCTGCTCTTGACTGCAAGATCCCGAATTCTGTTTCAGAACTGTTTTCCTCCTGATGCAGCGTGTGACCAGCCAAGAGTGGGGCCAGTTCTTTTCTGCAACCCTTATGGTTGCCAGAGAAGAATCGGCCCCACTTATGCTGAACACCAAGCCCATGGACCAATTCTGGCTTTCCGGGGGTCCCCCAAAGGGCCGCACCCCTTTCCCCACTGCATGCCTTGGGGGTCAGTCCACAGAATTCCCAGGCAGCGCTAGAACTGGGACTGGCAGAAGATCGTGGCCCGCCTTATGGGGCAGCTCCAGGGCTGCAAGCGATGCTCCAGGCCTCCACCTTTGGATTTTTCCTCTCCTTGCCTCCTTCCTCCGATCAGGAGCATCACCGCTGCTTCTCAAAGGACTGGGATGCTTGCATGCTCTGTCCCGGTTCACCTCCAATGTGCTTCTCCTGCATTTCTCTCTGCAGGTCACGGGAAGACGTCTCTGGAAGAACGTGTATGACATGCTGGGAGGCAGTCCAGGCAGCACCAGCGCCGCTACCTGCACCCGGAGACACTACGAGAGGTAACAGGCGCCTCAGCTCTGCCAGGAATGCGGGCGAGTCGGGCTTCCGCTTGGGTGGGAAACAAGACGAGGAATCCAGGCCTTGTCCTGAGAAGATCTTCTCGGAGCCGAGTAGTGCTGCCCCTTGAACTCTGAGGCGGAGGTCCTTCTTTGGGAGCCCTCTTGAAGGAGAGCAGGAGGGTGGCTCCCCGGAGGAGGGCCTTCTCTGTGGTGGCCCCCCGATTGTGGAATGTGCTCCCCAGAGAGGTTCGCCTGGCACCGACGCTTCTTTCTTCTTGGCACCAGGCGAAAACCTTTTTATTCTCCCATTATTTTAACGTTTAATTGGTTTTAACTGTGATTTTATTGTGAATTGCTGGATGCTGTGCCATTTTTATCTGTGCTTGTCATAAACCGTCCCGAGACGGTAATGCGATGGTCTGTAAAAGCTATGAATAAATAAAGAAATTGTGCAGCCTTTAATCAGCAGACCACTAGATCCGTGCTTTCGAGAGCAGTCCTGGTGTCGGGGCACGGGTGTCCCAGGAGCCGGGGGGCACCTTGCCCAGCCCTTTCATGGTCAGGATGGCACTTCAGCCTTGGAGTATTGGCAGGTCTTGCTCGCAGCCTGCCCTCTTGTGGCCTGCGTGGAGAGAACCGTGCTGGTGGCTTCTCTGAGGCTGCAAAATCAGCCTCGGAGTGGGGGAGTTTGTGAGGCGAGCTGCCGGGAGAGCCCTCGTGCTGTGGGGCATCATACAGATGTCATCAGGCAATCAATAAATGGGAGGCAGAAGAACAGAGAGGCCGGGATGCGGCTTGTGGTGAGCTTCATGCCTCTTCCCTGTCAAATAATAGTTGCTTAGTTGAGTAATTGGTTTGGGGCAGCTTCATGAATGAAGACAGATTCTTATTGGTGGGACTGGGACAGAAAAATCCTTTTTTGTGCTCCTTTAGAGTTGTTTTCCTTCTAGTGTGTGTTCCAGTAATAGGGAATGGAAGAGGCAGCTGCTCTGAAGCAGACTTCTTCTATAAATCCACAGTTTTGTTTATGAGATTGCAAGATATCTTGCAATTCCTTCAGCATCACCTGACAGCTGACTGATCTTTATTTAAACGCAATTAACTGCTCCGTTTAAAAGAAGTTCTTTAATAAGGTCAATGCAGAAGCATTTCACTTCAGCTTGTGCAGTTTTGAGCACGTGTTGCTTTAATTTAAACGGGGGGCGGGATTAATGGGCAGATTTAGCTCCATTTTGGGAAGGAAAGACAAATGAAGCACAGTGGGGCAAAGAAAGTGGGAGGCGGATTTCCTGCGGTCACTTGAAGCAGCCTGTACCCTTTCCCAAATCTCAGGGCTAGCCGCTTGCTTTAAAATACCCTCTGAGCTTCTCATGCATCCCAATTCTGCCTCTGTTGGCAGACTCGGTGTGAAATTTCTCGAGTGTGGTTTTGCCTGCGTTGTTGCGGAGCTGAGATAAGGCAGCACCTCAGTTTTAATTAGCGGGGTGCAGCTTGCCGGGAACATTTCTGGGCTGGGGCTTCTGGTTTCACGGGGCTGGCGTTTGCTCTGCAGGTTGGTCCTTCCGTACGTGCGGCACCTGAAAGGCGAGGATGATAAGCCCTTGCCCCCCGTCAAGCCCCGGAAGCCGTACAAGGTGTCCAAGGAGCCAAAGGGGGACCAGGCGGGCGGCTCTGGGGAGAGGAAGCGAGCCAAGAAGGAGAGGAGCAGAGAGCAGGTAAGGCAGTTGCTTCGAGAGGGCACCTTTCAGGTGAACAATGCTCCAGAACCTGTTTTTGCTTCATCGGGGTGTCATTAAAGCATTTTTGGGGTTTGACTGCCCTCTGCCTGCTGCCTGGGAATATTGCCTTATGTTTCTGTTTAACTTCTGGTGTTCCTCTTAGAGAGCCTGTTGCCTGGAGCAGCCCTGTAGCCCTGAATTGTCCCTGCTCCCCTATTTTCCCCACCCAGACAAATAAAATACGGTTTACAGTGTGTCCTTAAGCAGCCTGCAAGCCTGATTAACTGCTCCCCTGGCTCTGGCACCCTGCAGACGTATGGGCTGGCACGGGGCCTTCCGGTCTCGGGAAGAAGCATGTCCAGGGCTCTGCAGCGGCCACAGATGTCAGCCGCGTTCACCGCACGGCCTTCAAGTCACCTTTCCGTGCTCTGGGGTGAAAATCCAAGCCAAACGATTTAGAGCGGGGAAGGGAAGACACCGGCTTTGTCGGGTTTCCACATTTTGCATGAGGTTTTCCAACCGGTGGGTGGGGGCTGTCTCCCAACTGCTGAATTGTGCAGATGTGAAAATCACAGTTTTCAGAAAAAACAGTTCCTAGGAAGGGCAAACACATTCAAGATGCCTGGCCCTGTATTTCTTTGACATGGGCAGATAGGACAAGGGTGTTCACTGTGTCTTCAGGGGGCTGAACCCTTCTGGGGAGCCCTGTTTGCCCGCCCTGCACAGAAAGTGCCAGTGCTGCCCCCCCCCCCCGCTTCTCAACCACACCTCTTTGCTTGCAGGGCCTGCCAGAGAAGACCAGGGCCGATCCCAGCGTGACCCCCAAGCCTGCCAACGGTGAGGAGCAGGACCTGCCCCAGGATCACGTGGAGGGCGGCCTCCCGCTTACAAGCAGCCGGGAGCCTCCCGAGAGCCAGGCCCGGGAGGGCTGCCACGGCGCCTGCGGGGCCCACGGCTGCTCCGAGACCTACAAGCAGCTCTTCTCCGGCTTCTACTTCAAGGGCAACCACGGCATCATGTCCCCGCTGGCCAAGAAGAAGCTGCTGGCCCAGGTCAGCAAGGACGAGTCCTTCTATTCCCATGGGAAGCACCTCGGCCACTGCCTGGAGCACAAGGAGGGCCGTGTCCGCGAGAGCCCTGGCTCAGACGTGGAGACCCAGCCTCAGGCCCCCTCGGCTGGCCAGCACCCGCAGGAGCGGCGGACGCCCGGGCTGGAGGTGGCTGGCTGCAGGGGCCCTCCCGGTGCTCCCCAGGCCACAAAGGCGAACGGAGGCACTCAGAAGGTGCTTCCGAGCCTCCGGGATGGCCCAGCAGACAGCAGAGGCCCTGGGGGCCACCCGCCCACGGGACCGCTCATCTTCAGGGGCTACTTCCACACGTCTGGAGGCAGCGCCGTGCACCCGCAAAGCGGCCTCCCTCTCCGGGGACCGCTGGAGTACTACCCTGGCTTCAAGGACTTCCCGGAGTCGTCCTCTGCCTACCCTCCGCCCGGGAAGGACGTGCTCCTGGGCAGCCTGTCTCAGAAGAGGCAGGATGCCCCAGAGGACCAGCCCGAGGACCTCCGCCAGAAGTCGCGCCGGCCGCTGCCCTGCTGGGGAGGGGACGGCCCACAGGCCGCGGCCTTCCAGCTCAGCAGCCCTGGCGAGAAACGAGGCCCGTCCCCCTTTGCCCACGCCAAGCCCTCCTGGGCGCCCACCGCAGCCCCCCTGGTGCGGGGTGGCCCACAGGCGCTGAAGAACGGCGCAGCGCCCCTTGCCCCGGGCCAGGCCGCTGGCGCCGCGCAGAAGAAGCGGCCACTGGAGGAGGACCACTTCCCGCCCCCCAGGAAGCTCAAGGCCGTGGCCCCCTTCGCCAAGGAGGCGGAGCCAGGCAGCCCGCTGGAGCCCGGCCCCTCCCCGGGTGGGCAGGTGGGCCTGGCCAAGCCAAAGGCCGCGGTGCCGGGCTCCAGCTACCCGGTGGCCCCCATGCCCCAGGTGCAGGACGCATACAAAGGGACGATGCTGCGGCTGCCCGTGAGCTCGGCCGGCCCGGCGGAGCACCTGAAGGGACGGTCGCCCCCACTGATCCCGCCCCTGTGCATCAGTCCGCTCGTTCTCCCCGCCTTCCCGACCCCTTTGCTGACTGCCTCCATCCAGCCCTCCGACCTCTGCCAGCCGCTGGGCACCTCCCTGGCCCCCTACCCCGCCGCCTATGACAGTGCCCTCCGCCACCGGCTGTACCGGTTCTCCACGTGGCACAGCCAGCCCGCCTACGCCTCCACCCACGTGCCCGCTTTCCACCGGAACACCAAGCTGTAGCCGCGCTCCGTGGCCTCCAGAGACACGCACCGCCTGGGCCGCCCGCGCGTGCTGCACGCCGGGTTCGCCGCCCTCTTCCAGGCTTGCTTTCTTGAGAAGCGGCCAGGTGCCACGGCCAGGACCATGCGATCTCTTTCCTCACTCTTGAACTTTGAACTGTCTTTGTATCTGGTATGATATGCAAAGGACTTGTGCTTAGAAACAAAGCAAAACTCTGTAGGGAACAAGGTTGATACAAGCAGAGGTTTATATCCGCGGGAGGCCTGGACCCAGGTCAGTGCCAGTTTGTCTGTACTTTCTGGAGGAACTGAAGCTGCTGGTAGGAGCACGGTGGGGTTAGGGAGGGTTCCAGATGTGTGAACGGATCCCATCAGCCTCAGCTAGTTTGTTGGCCTGCAAAGAGTGTGGTGCACATGAGCCCTTTCCCAGCCGGCCGGCAGATGCAGAAGGAAAACAAGCCCGTCTGGGAGTTTGATCTGGGAGTGATTTGAGCTGAGGTTCTGCACTGATTCCCTGTGAGGAGCAGGCAGAAGAGGCTGTGCCTCCTTCCACAAGGGCATTTAAGGGTTGCTGAATTGTTCCAGGTTGCATCCTGTACTGTAAAACTTCACTGCCATTCCAGGCTTCTTGTCCTTATCGTAAACTCACTGAGGTCTGCCTCCTTGCCCAGTTCCGTAGCTCATGGAAGAGGAGGAAGAGGATGCATCTGGAGCCGGTGGGCATCCCTCCTCCTCCTCATTCCCCTGCAGAAGACTCAAGGAACCTTGCTTGTGTCGGGGCCAGGGCGCTCCTTCCAGGTATCCATCGCCAGGGTGCGTCTCTGCTTCCCGGTCCCCCAGAGTTCAGCCACAGGCACCTGGCATGTTTCTCCTGCCCAGGTGGCTTATTCCTGAAGGGTATCGGAGGAGTCTCCCTCCGGCCACCTGCTTCGCCTTGATTGCAGGTCTTCCGCAGCCCTTGACTGGAATCGGCGCCCCTGCTCCATCCCAAGCAGAGAACTCCCAGGTAGGGGAGGATCAGCCAGGCTCCTCTCTGGGCCCCTCGGTGCTCTGGGGATGAGTGAGGGAACAGTCAAGCTGTGCATGGAGTACCAGGGCACCCAGCGGTGGGCGCTGGAGGCTGGGTCAAAGCCCCGGACTGGGATGGGGACACAAGCCTTTCTGATGCTTAGGGACGAGGTGGTATTTAAAGGTGCTTAAACTTTAAATACTTGCAAGGAATTGAGCCCAGCCTTGGAGCTGTGGCAGGCGTTGCTGACTCCTGAGTAGACCCTGTAACTCCCATGGCCGCACAATTGCGCCAGTGGCAGTAATGTTAAGCTGACACTCTTGTGGAAACCATTTCCGCAAAGATTGCTGCGCTGAGCTTTCTGCACAAGAGACTTTTAACCTGCCGTTTTGTTGAGGTTTTCACTTAGTGGGATTAAGACTGACTGCTTTATACATTCAGGGGTTTTCCTTTTCTACCTTTTTATATGTTCTGTTGTACAACCACAAGGTGGCGTTGCAGGTTAGCAGAATTGCAAAAATAGGTGATGTTGTCATAGTGTGATTTCCAGATAATATAGTCTAATTTAAAAAAAAAAAAAATCCATGGAAATGGTTGCATAGCTCAGGAGAGGCCCTGGATTATGAAAAGACTGTGTGAAGCAACCAGCAGGGCAGAATCTCAAGTGCAGAATAAATGCCTCATGTGGGGAAGACCTTGGCTTGTAGCAGCAGCTTGACGAGAGGAAGACAGAACAAATCTATTTTCCCGACATCGCGTAGATGCCTCTGCCCTCAGACGCACGAAGTATTAACCTCAGGTGGGCAACTTTCTCTGCAGGTGCTGAGGGGAAGTTGGAGGTGGGAAAGGACTTAAGCTTTTTTCTCAGAGGGCATCGGATTGCAAAAGTATGATGGGTGATTTCAGTTCCTTCCAATGTTGCAATTTATGTCTCACCCTACCCTTGGTGCGTGTATAATCTGGCCATTTGAGGTTACCCCTTCTTGCTTCTGATGGCGACAGCAGTGCCCAGAAAAGCTCATGTGTGAGCCATGAAATGTCCACGGGGTTTTCTGCAACTCAGCAAGAGCATAAGCAACCCGTCCCGGTGGATTGCACCAGTTTGCACAGGCCGCCTGAGTTCAGTTCCGATTCGGGTTGAGCATCGCTGGGCAGCACTGGCTTGCTCAGATGCGGAGCCTCGGCCTGCTTACCCCACATGGGGCTGCAGCTTTCCTGGAAATCAAGGTGACTTTCCCAGCTTAGCTTCTGATGAGGCTTTGAAGTTGAAACAGTAAGTACCAAACTCAGCAAAGCTCGTTCAAGCAGTGGAAGCCTCCCATTTGCACTTCAGTTGAATTTATTGTGCCATATTCAGGAATAAATTTTCAAATAATAGGCATTGACAACCAGGGCTGTGCATTTTCTATTTCTGGGCACATTATGGTTGACCAGTACAGGGTACGGAATTCAACATACCCAGCATTGAGCTTTCACTGGAAATTAAAACCTGGTTTATAAAATAAACGAAGAGAACCAAACGGTGCAGTCCTTGGGGTGAGAAGCAAAGCAGTGTGTCACCTGTTATCTCCCGTGTTTGCACAGATTGTGCCACACAGTGACTCGGCCGCTCCATAGCCCCCTCTGCCCTGCTGCGCCCCCTGAGTTGCCCCATTTTGCACCCACAGTTGGTGAGAACCGTGGCACTGCTAGAGATCTAAAGGATTATCCTTCCTAAAGAAGAGGTGCTTTTTAAAATGCAAAATCCTGCTCCCAGCACCTCTCCCTGCCTTGCTCTAAAGCAAAAGTGCCGCCCCTTGTGCTGCTAGAGGCTGCCGGGATTCGCTGGCATCGGGGTGGTTGGCGGCAATTTGATGGCAAGTGAGCAGCAGGCGAGCAGCTCCTGGGGCTTCCAAAACTGCTCAGCTAGGTGGCGGCAGCCCTTTCCAAATCTCCTGGGCAGTTTGCTGGTCCCGGTCAGGAAGAGGATGCCCAATGGGGTGATGTTTCACTCCTCGGAAACTTGTTGGAGTGACATGATGCTCTGTAAGCAACTCGTGTGCAAGTGGGCCGTGGAGGCCTGATGCTAAGTGGGCTGTTACCTGGGGACCAGGTAGGAGAGCCTTCAAGAAAGAACTGCGGGCATGGGATGAAGGAATTTGCACTGCTCCCTCCTTTAGCTCTCATTCAGCATCTCAAGCATGTCAGGAGCCCAAAGTTTCACAGGCCCAAGTAGAACGACTGCAGTCCAGCACGGGCCTGGAATGCCAGTTGGCCCGGCAGTTTGGCTCCAGGAACAGTCCAGCACAGCCACACCTTTAACGTCATCCCCCAAAATTCATACTAGAATGTGCCTTAGAAACAGCGAGTCAGAAGGGGCCTCTAGTCTGACCCCGGCTCCAGCCGGCTCCACTCACGACAAGCCCAGCATGTGCACGTCCAGCCTGTCTTTGAACACCCTCATCGAAGGGGCCTCACCCACCTCCCGGGGAAGCCCATTCCACCCCCTCGGGGTCCTAACCGTCAGGAAGGGCTTCCTGGCATCCACCCTAATTTTGTTGCTTGTAACCTATATGTGGACTGGACTCCATGACATGAGATGCACACAATCTCATCCCGAGTGGATGAGCATATATCATACAAGCAGCTTCCTCATGGAACCTGACATGAGAGGGAAATGATTGCAAAAGGACGTTCTACACCGTTACACTGAAGCTGGAAAGCAGCTTTTCTCGGTGAATATCGCCCTCCTTCAATCTCACACATCCCCTTCACTTTACCCTAGAAGGGTCCATTTAGCTGCTTTAGAACAATGCGCAAAGCCACTTGGGATATATGACAAATTTCTTGGGAATACTTCAGGTCTATTTGAAATCGATGCCCAGTCAGTTTCCCAATCTGGCAATTTCCTTCAAAGCCTCTAAACCATTCTGCCCTCGAAACATTAGCTCTGTTGCAGCCCCAAAAGGTTCACACTTTTTGCTGAATGGGCATGTTTGCTGTGCCACTGCTTGTCTATTTTTCTCTATTATGCTTCCATCCATGGTCCAAGGTCACCCAATGAATGTCACAGCATAGCAAAGACTTAATAGGGTCAGAGTTGGAAGTCATCTTGCTCCAAAACCTGCTTGGTGCAGGATCCGTGAAGGCGCTTGCAGCCATGGCGTCCCCGACAAACGCGCGCTCTCGTCTTAGCCCTCTGTTCTCATGCAATCTCCATCCACCGATCGAGTTCTTCAGAGCAAGAGAGCAAGCCTGCCCACCACTTTCCTGGCAACGCTCAGGTGTTTGAAGGCTGCTCTGTTGTCTTCCTCGTCATCAGCTGTCGCTCTCCCCACAGCACAGAGGAGCGAGTGGTGCCCGGTCCCACGGGCAGATTGATGTCAATCCAGCTGATGGAATCTGTCAGTTGGACTTCTCCGCTAGATCTGTAGAGTCCCATCTTCCGCCTCAGCCTTTCTTTCACCACTAGATGGTAGTGTTTGCACTCGTATTTGTGTTTGAGAGACCAGCTTTCACTAGGTTCCCCCCCCCCCCGCCCCTTACTGCCTTCAGAATAGCCACGCGATTGGACCAGCACTAGGGCTGCAATGGCAACGGTGGGGGCACCGGGAACCAGAGCATGGCCTGGCTTCTCATCGTGGGGGGGGGGGGGCAGTTCCCAGGCTGTGCCCCTCAAATAGATGCCGAAAGGGTGCCAGATTCATGGAACGTGTGTGTTTCAGAGAGCAGGGCTGGCTCAGACTTCTGGGCGGCCTTGGAGACGGTGCTGCTGACGGTCACCCACTTCTCCCCCCTCCCCCTGCCCCCCCCCCCCGGCTTGCCCACCCCCTTGCTTAGCTCTAGCTAAGTGGAAGCTGCTAATAAGTACATTCGTAAAACCATGTCCAAGCAGACGGGGGCTCCATTGAACCCCTTGTTCTGTTCACACAGCCGCTGTCCCTCAGGAGGCTCACAAGAAGTCATGAATGCATGAAGCAAGCAAATTAATTACACACGTCACTGTCAAGCTCCATAATTAACTTTACTTAACTTAGTTTCTATCTCTTCCTGTGGAGCTGGAAAAGGGACAGTGGAGGAATTTGCAAAATGTAGTCCACGCCTGACTGATTCAGTAATTAGTTGTGGATGCGTGGCTGTGTCGGGCCATTGTTCTAGCAGAGAATTAAAGGGAAGGGATCAGCTTTCAGAGATGATTAAAGAATTGCTCAAACAGAGCGCCATTTCTATAGCCTTGATGCAGCCAAATAGCAGGTGGTGGCTCTGTCCTGGTGTGGTGTCCTTGTCTGGTGTGGCCATCTCCCTTCCAGCTTGTGCGCTGTCCCTAGAAAAGCTTCGTGCCACCAGGATCCCAAGCCAGAAGAAGCCACCCCCACGCCCAATGACCGAATAATAAGGGCAAAAGGCAAAACAATCATGGCATCACACTGATCACGATCGCTGAATGAGGATGCCAGCAACACAGAGATGTTGGGCAGCAATGCGATTTACTTCGGTTCTCATCCCATGATGGGAATGGAAATACAGAGTGTTTCTACGCTTTTTTACATGGCTTGGAAGGATCGCCAGCTTTGTGCAGCTTGTACAGGTTTTGGGGTCAACAACTGCCGTGCATCCAGGGACATGTACAACACCACCGTATCTAAAAAAAAAAAAAAAACCACACACACACACACAGGCATGGGAAAATCAAGGTTCATCTTAACTTGCAGAGATCTTCTAAGGAGCTCAAAATTTATCTCAGCAAAGCTTTGAAAAATCTTGCTGATACGCCCACCATTCTCAAACTGGAAAGATCAGAATAAGCCTCGGAGGCTAACACATTAATTGCAGCATTCCTGACATTTGGCCTGTTAAAGAAGGCCAAAACTTAAGATGTGCCACTATCTATAAAATTATCTTTTCACAAGGAACTATGACATGTTTGCATCCACTTCTGTGCTTTCAGCATAGTAATGAGAGTAATTAAAAGACCAGTCATTTCCAAGACCATATTAACCCCTCTGCCCCTCCAGTACAGGTACAGCATATAATGCTAAAGCTGAAGGCATGATGGTTGGTGAAACTTCTGTCTTGTTTACAGGGGAACAAGCTAAGCAAGAGGCTGAGTGAGGCAGGACTGCAGACCTGCAATTTAGCATGCCGATTCCTCATTGCAATGCGGCCAGAAGTTCCCGTCTTCAGAAAAGATTGTGGCTTCTTTTGCAAATGTGCCATCGAAACTATGACTATCAGAACTGTCAAAGCTAGAACCTCCGTTGGAGTCTTTTTCCTTACCTGGTACAGCAGGTCATTTCATATCTAGCGCACCGACACTGCATGCATTTGGCCGTATTCCAGGTGGAACCAAAAGGGTGCTTGCTTCCATCATATTTATCCACACATCCTTTGGCTTTATGTGAGAGTTTTTCTAGGGAGAAAGGTCATCATTTGGATTTACCTGCACCGGTGCCAAAATCGGCAAAAGTGCCTCAGCCCTGATAACCACGTAAGGAGTGTGGTGTGTGTTTGGGGCATTTTGGAGGTTGTGGGGGGTTTTCCGGCTCCCCTCCTGTGCCTTTCACTGCCTCGTGCATGAGATGCAGAGATTTAGCATCCATCTTGGCAAAAATACGCACCTCCCTCCTTCCCTCCTGGCCCCCTGGAATGCCCCTCCATGCTGGCTGGTTAGAGGGAGGGCACTCGAAAGCTGAGCCCCGACTCGGGCCTTGGATGTGTGCGCCAAGGCCAGGGCTGGGATCCAAGCTGTCCAGTGGCCCTCCGGACAGCTTTCAGTTGCCCAGCTGGACCACTTCAGCGCTCCGTGTTCCAGTTTGCTCCCATTATGGAGCCACGTGAAGGATGGAGATACATTTGCTCATCTGATCATGCTTTGCAAGCTTCAAAAGCAATTGCAGTTTTATGAGGATGCAAAATAATATCACTAAAACGACGATGAAAAGGATGGAATTAGAGAGTCAAGTGTTTTGGTCCCGTTTACATTTCATGAGACCTTTGTAACCTAGTGGAAGTCGGGCAATAATTTCTGTGAGCTTATTCTGAGTTCCTGGGAAGGTCTCAGAACTTTCCAGGAAGGGAGGTGAGGAAACCAAACATTTGATGAAAAGGTCTCTGTCTTTAAACAAGAGCAAGGCAGAGCATTCTGTAGAAACATAGAAACAGCGCGAGTCAGAAGGGGCCTCCCAGGCCATCTAGTCTGACCTCCAGCCCCATGACATGCCCACCATGTGCATGTCCAGCCTATCTTTGAACTATCTATGCCTATCTATGTCGTGAGCGGAGCTGGATGGGGCTGGGGGTCAGACTGGATGGCCAGGGAGGCCCCTTCTGACTCGCGCTGTTTCTGTGATGCTTGTATGTTTAAACACCTCTTCCAGGACGGCTCTGGGAACGCGCCTCAATAACCTACTGCAGCATTCAGCTGTCAGATGTTGTTGAAACACAAACAACTGCATTGTGGCTACCCAGTGACACAACCCATAAAGAAAGTCAGTGGTTGGATGCTGGCTTGTGGACTGTGGCTAACCAGGTTTAGACTATCCATCTTTCAACAACAGGCTGTGGTTCAACAGGAGCCCACATGCCACCTGTGCGCATCCCTCTGTCTAACGAAGGCATCTCAGCGCCTGCCCCAGACGACCGTGTCCAGGATTCTTCAGCCGCAGCCATAGCAGGTGAACCAGCCGAATGAACCGGGCCCACGCCTGCACCCCTAAGTCACCCACAGATTCTTTTCTGGCACTAAATAATGAATAGCTTTGACGTTACCAGAGAAGCAGGCGCCTTCACACAAGGCCAGGAGGAGACCGGCAATTGCCAGGGAGAGCAGGACTTTCTGAAATGGAAGCAAAATGGAGAAAAATCAGCCTGTACCTACCTATATAATACTCAACAATTTTAAGAATGGAAGCACTGAATGAGTCATGTCGGGAACTTTGCCTTCTTTGTATATTTAATGCCTGCAACCAGATCTCACCCAGTAGCCATGAAGAGTGCTGAAGTTCTATAAGAAGCCATTTTCTCCTCCCAAATTGGAGAGATGCTTAAACATGCATGACAGGGCTATGCTGAACAGCCTACAGGGTTTCAGATTCACCTGCCTGAATCCAGCACTTGTAGCTGTTAGCTCAGCAGCCAACATGCTATAGAAGATTCATGGACATTCAAACTGCTCAGAAGTACAAAACCTGCCAGTACATGCAGCCCAGGGAAAGGTTCCAGCTGTTGGCTGCAATGCAGAATTCATCCCTACTGAGGCTGATAATTTTGGGGCTCATATTGCTATAAAAATCATCCTATGGAGTAATCAAACAATTCGGCCCCAAGGAGGGTGAATTCTGCACCAACAAATGATGTTGAATCGCCATGTGGGGTTCGCACATGAGTCTTCTTGGTAAGACCCATCCTTGGGAAGGATAGGAAAAGTTGGGTGATCCAAGAATCAAAGGACTTCAGCATCTGAGGCAATTTTTCCTCCTGATTTTTAATGCCTTTGACAGCTGTTCCCAATTTTTGTCCTAATTCCAATTCAATAAGCACAGTTACTTGTTCTTAGTTAATTATTATTTCCTATCTTGAAAGGGTAAGTGCTGCCTAGTATTCAGCTTACCATCTTGCTTTTTCAATCCGTGGATGGAAATCCCTTTTTGGTGGAAAAAAAAACTGCAAAGGTAAGAGGAGGCTGTTTGTTTTAGTTGAGTCCTCAGGAATCAACTGCCTCTTTTTATACTCTTGAGAAGGAAGAGGGGCAAAACTGAGAACACACACGCCCTGACTCAGTACTTGAAATTAATTTATTGCTGAGATTCCAAGAAACATTTGCCAGAAGGAAAGAATTTGCTCCTGATTAAATCAGCATTTTTGCCTAGAATATATCTGATAGACCAGTAATGTCTTGTCACCTGCCTTTCTTTTTTAACCAGAACACACTGAAACCATAACAGGAATAGCTTGTAAAACTTCACCCGGTGGGGTCATCATGTTGTCCAGTATGGCTCAAGGCAGGCCGGCTGTTGTCCTGTATCTTAATTATATGGATCAGGAAAGGGTCCTTAGACAAGAGGAAGTCCGTCTCAGACTACATCCCATGGAATTTACTGCCGTAGGCTATGAATTTGCTTTCACAACCAGCATCTCGTAATGCAAAGGAAAGTTGACCTGGTGCCACCGGGAGCTTGTTGTGAAATAATCAGACTGCAGTCAAAGGAAATTCACACCTGGCGGGAAACTGAAGATCTGTACCTGGGCTGGTTCTGCAGGTGATGTTGCAAGTTTGCCACAGGGGAGCTGCCAAAGTGTTTACACCTGCCCACTATGGAGCAAAGTGCAGTTCTTACATAGGTTGCGATGAAGCAAGGGGTCCCACTGATGACTTGCAACGCTGAGATTTCTTGTTAAGAAATGGCAGAACAACATAATTTCTAGAAGAAACCAGTTTGCTAAACTTTATTTATAGCATTATTTATAGAGCTTTATTTATACCGTCTCTGTCAGGACAGCTGCCTAAGATTAGTCAGGAGCAGGAAACCCCCAGCCAGAAAGGTGAAGCTGAGGAAAAGCTAGAAGTCGAAACTGCAGGGGGCAAGCCAGCCAAAGGAGTCTGCCAAAAGACACACCAGAACCAAAGAGTCAAATTACATTAAATGTATTTATTTCATTTGTATTCCACCCAATTGGCAAGGTTAATATGAGAATTAATCCGAGCAACCTCCTGCTACTTGATGCCCGGACAGGCATAGTACAGCTCTGAATATCAACAGGGCAACCATCACCTCCACACTGACTCGCCCTTGTCAATCATTGCCGCAGAACCTCGTTGGTGACCATCTGCCCAAGGGCCAAACTGTGTGCGTCTGTGCGGCTTGGTGCTGGAGCCCCTTCAGAGCAGGACTGGTCGCGAGGGCAGAGCCGGGGAAGCGGAGCAGGAAGGCAGCCGGACGTGCTCAGCAGGTCCTGGCCCCAGGCTGACCACGTGCCTTTGGGCAACTTTAAACAATGACTCTTTAAATCTAAGGCCTAGAAGTCTGTATAAAACATGATATTTTTTAATATGATGCAAGTTATGTTTTGTGGTGAAGCTTCAAATATGCTTCTAATTCAGACAAAAAAGTATCTTTGTCATTTCCGTTAACACTTTCTTTTTGTTCAAAAGCAAAATTGAATTTGCCTAAAACCCTTCCTGCGATATGCTGTGTTCAAAGACTATTGATCAATCATGGACAGTCCACTGCCAGACCAATGCTTTCTAAAACCAGGAAAGGAGAGGATTTGAGGGCACTCCGCAGTGGCAGCATCCACCAGGGTAGCACATCGGACCGTCCTCCAAGGAGACGCCACGATCGGCCTCCAGATGCGGCAGACTCCCCATGCCGCTCCCTCCCACTCAGGTGGGCCAGAGCTGCTGCCCCGGCGTGAGTCCAGGGCCCTTCTCCGCTTTCTGCCTACCTGGAGCAGCAGGACATTCCCCTCCTGTGACAGGAACATCTCAGGCAACCAGGCGAGGTCCACGTGGCTCCGAATGGGGACTTCTCCCCATCAGATGGGCCAGTGCAGTAGGGGGCAGCCTCTGGCACACCTAGGGGGACAACCGCCATCAGGTGCATGCGAGATCATTGCAGAACATGGTCTGGGAACCAGAACTGTCCTTCAGCCAGGAGGAGCCTAGGCTGGTTGACAGTGATAAAGGAACAAACCGGTCTCTACCTGCAGATTCACGATGTGAAAGGCACAGGAGAAAAGGACAGGGGCTCGGGATGGAGGAAGGGACAGAAGCACCAGATGCGTGGATTCACACCTGAGCACTGGGTGGAGATGAAAGCAAGCCTAGTGGAAGGCTATGGGCTTCTCTTCCCTGCAGGGGTGGCGGGGAGCAGGAGAGGGAGGCATCCCGCAGCACGGAGGCTTCCGCCTGCGGCTTCTCTCCCTCTGGGAAGAGCCAGCTGGCCTGCCCGCCCAGCGCAAAGGCCATGCAAGGCAAGGCGGCCAGCAGGGCCTCCTTTGCCCTCCCAGCAGCCTGCAACCGGCTGCGGGCAGAGCCTCTTTGGCTCCACTGGGTTGGGAGCCCAACAGCCGGAGCTGCTTTTCCCACATGGGCTGCTGGATCACCCGGAGAGCGTGGGGGTGAGGCCGCTGAAGCGGATCTGGGAGGCCCAGCTCCGGGGCCCACTCAGCTCCAAGCCTCACGGGGGGATGGGGGGGGGGCGCTCACTGCCTCTCTGCCTGATCTACCTCACAGGGCTGTTGTGAGGATAAGGGGGAGAGGGAGAGAGGGATTCTGAAAACTTTCTTGAGTTCCTCAAAGTAAAAATGCTGGGCTTGTAATATAATGAACAAAGAAATGGCGAAATTTCCAAAGCTGGCATCATAGAATTGTTGCGAGTCTCTGGTTTCCCAAGCACAATTTAACTCTGTGCCCAAATTAGCTGATGGTCTGGTAGAATTGCCATGGACCCTGATTACTTCGGGCTGCACCAAAAAACAGGCTTCATGGCACAAGCTGAAGGTGAGGCAGAAGGCGGCCAAAGTCCAGAGGAGTTTCTGAAAAAGGTGAGGGAGGGGCACCATAATGGGGTCACATTTAGTACACTTGCAATCACGCTGTCCATAAAGCCTGAATCGGGGAAGTCTTCTGGCCACCTTACAAGAACCGTGAATCGGTCCACTCTCCCCCTCAAGGTCAAAGCGTGCAGTGTAAACCGTATCCGTCCAATCCAATGAGGAGGAGGAAATGAGCGCCGTAGATCTAAGAACACAGCCTGGCCGGCGAGGGCAAGTCGGAGGGTTTCTGCGCAAAGGGGGAACGGCAGGTGTGGAGCTTTATCCCGGTACAGGCTCTTCTTCCGAGAGCAATGACAAAATTACGGGTTCCTTGAAGGGTAGTTTGATGTTTACCGTGACAGGACACTGGATTAGTCAAGCACTCATCAGTGGCCACAAGGAGAGCACGGGAAATTTGTTATTTAAAAAAGGGGTTATCCTCCCAGTAATGAGGTGTCCAGAACTGAGCACAATACTCCAGTTGCGCGTGCACCAGAGTCGTATGGCGTGGCAGCAATGCCCCTCTCGATCTAGAAGCCACGTTTCTGGCTATGCAGCCAAGGGTGACGCTCACCCTCTTGGCCACCGCATCCCACGGCCGGCTCATGCTCAGCCTGCAGTCGACCAGCGAAGCTGTGCCCGAGGCATCACCACCCCCATGGACAATGTTTCTGCGCCGCATCTGGAATATCGTGCTTAGGTTAGGACCCCTCGTTAGAGGAAGGACAGAGCCTCTCCGTCTGCTCTAGTGGGGATAAGAGGGAGAGGGAGAGCAGGATTCTGAATACTCCCTTGAGTTCCTCGAAGCGAAAACAGCAGGCTAGCAATATAATAAACAAATAAATGGTGAAATTTTGCAAAAGAAAAACATAGGACTGAAGACAGCAATCGCAGGGCAAGCATATCAAGCGTCTGAATGTGTGTAGGGCCAGCCAAGTATCTCAGAACAATGCACAAAGTTTAACGACAACAGACTGAGTATCCCAATGCTGAAGGAGCTGTCAGCTGCTCGGTGCCTTGGCTTCGAGGGGAGGCACTTTGCTTCGCCTTTGCATGTCCTCCAAGCCATCTCTTAGCTGCCGGAAGGACACGGAGCAGGCGAGGTGCGGAACCTGCTCCCAGGCCGGGAGGGCATCGCTTCCGCTGGCTCTGCTCCCCAGACTTTCTTGGGGCTGAGTGCACCTCCCTGCCCGCCGGGAAGCCAGCGCCACACGACGGCTGCACAAGCACAGTCCCTCGCTCGTGCAGGCCACTTGCAGGACACGGAGGGAGGCTGCCGGTCGCTCCACCAGGCTCAGCCTTTACAGGCCTCGAATCCACTCGGCTCTTCTGCGAGAGGGCTCCACGCAAGCGGAAGTCCGTGATCCGAAGAGGGACGGATTCCATGCAGGGCCATCATAATGCTAGCATGCAGAATCCAGGTGGGCTGAGCATGCACCTTCTTCCAAGAGACTGGCGGGTAGGTGAAGGAGCACAACTCCAGCACAACATCGATCCGTGTAATCACCTCCCCCAAAGAGGGAAGCATGAACGTGTGCTTAAAAAGAGCTGGTTTTGCACGGGCAGGATCCGGAGGACGTGGGCACGTTCCTCCAAGGAGACCCCATGCTGACCCTCAATCCAGTGTGGACATGGGTCTATGCCACTGACTGGTCCCAACGAGATTGGGTGGCATCCCCAAGACCTCCAGGAGGGAGCCCTCCCAGGGAGGACAGAGGCTGAGCCTGGGGCTTGCTGCTGCACGAGAATGTGTCCTGCCAGCGCTGGGCCAAGGCCGTTCCCTCTGAGTCCGGCCCTGGGTGCAAGCGCAGACTCATGGCGATGTCGTCCCAATGGAAGTCAGGTGTGTGCTGCTGAGACCCTCTTTCCCAAGCACAAAGCGGCGCCTTGCCCAAATCCCTTGCCGTTGGGCCACATTACCATTGACTCGGATTATTTCGGACAGCTCCGAAAAGCAAGCTCCACGGCACAAGCGGGAGGCGAGGCACAAGACGGCCACACTCCAGGGAGCCTCCTCGAGCAGAAGGAGAAGGTCCGTCGTCATGGTGGCCGCCCCTTATTGCATTTTCATTCACACTGTTGTACATCGCGAATCAAGGGAATCTTCTGGAAGCTGACGGGACTGAGGATGGCTCCAAGCTACTCATCACATTGCGAGCGAAACGTACATTCTAAACAGCATCAGAGCAATCCAGGAAAATGGGGGAAATTCGAGCAATAGACCTATGAACACACCCCGGCTGCTGAGCGCAAGGCTGGGTCCCCAAACTGGCTTTTCGAGCAAAGGGGGATTGGCGGAAGTGGATCTTCCTCCCGTGAAAGGCTGCTCGTCAAAGCACTATGATTAAATTACTGGACCCTTAACAGGATACTTTGATATTTACTTTCACAGGAGACTTGTTTGTCAAGCATTCATCAGGGGCTGTGGAGAAAGTACCGGGAATTTTTTTCAAAGGTTTTATGTGGCATTTTTTCGGGTCTCTCACTGAGACGATGAATAGCTGCGATTTCTGCCGCTTCCCATTGACTAGCTCTCATTCAAAATGGTTACAAGCAAGTGTGAATCTACAGAAAGACAAAATTATAGCCCTCAATTAAACCTGGGCAGCCAATCCTGGACCGATGGGTAGAGGTTCTGCTTGGAGCACTTTTGGAGGGTGTTTTCTGGCAGTGGGCCATGGAGGAACAGCAACGACGGCCCCAATCCCTGTGTTTGGGACACACACTGCAGATGATCAGGGCACTGGCCAGGAGGGGCTTGGCCCCAGGAGGGAACGTGGAGCCTCTGCCTGTGACCGCCCCGTTCTCTCGTAGTGCGAATGCGCACGGGGACTCTGACACGGAAGACCTTTCCCAGGGAACGGACCGGGAGCAGCTGGGCACATGGGCAGACCGCCTGGGAATAGCACCTCTCCCGCCGGCACCTGCTGCATCGGGGGTTGACTCCTGGGGCCATGGGCAAATGTGACTCACACGGGGCCCCGATGCAGCCCCGGGAAGTCCATGGAGGCCACACCTGTCCCAGCTCCCCCTCTTGTCCTCAGTTACTAAGCACCAGTGGCTTCCCAGGGCTGCCTTATCACTTCCCCACTCCAAAAATTAAAACGCCTCTCCTAAACCTCACTCGCTTTCACCCGAACTCGTGAGTTTGCAGTGGCCACGTGTGTTCTGGCAGCAAACGGGAACGCCACTCTCGAATAAAGAGGTGGTTAAACTTAAGAGCAAACAATCAAGACAAAACAATGCTGCGGGTCAGACTAGATGGCCTGGGAGGCTCCTTCTGCCTCGCAATGTTTCTATGTTGCTAATGCAACTCTAAGAAGTGATACGTAAGGTGGGGGGAAGTTAGCTTGCCCAGACATTGCTAGGGGCTCTGGTGTGACAGCATCTCTGAGGCTGAGTCATGCGTCTCCGATTTGGATTGAAGAGAACTGGGGGTCACCTGTCCGCATGCAGGCATCTCATTTCAAGCCCCTCGAGTCTTGAATTCGGCTGGGGCATCTCTTGACAGTCCAGGCCTTTCCTTCCTCCCAGGAATAAGGAGACATGCTGAGCCATCTTGGCAAATCCCATTGAACCTGATTTCCTCACCCCTAATGCAGGCATTCCAAATTGGCTATTTTTCAGTGGCTGATCTCCACACACACCTACTTTTTGCATTATCTAAAACTGAGAATATTATTATTTTAAAATGGAATAAATGTTCTTGCTGTTGTAATACATCACCTCATAAATGGAAATTATTCTTTCACAGCCCTCAGTGCAAACAATCAGTTGATGGGCCCAGTTAATCCATTTCATTTGTACATCAAACAGATCTGGACTAATTCCCCTAGAAACACTTATTTTACTTTCTGATGTCGGATCCTTGTTCTGTAGAATTTAAGTGATCAGGCCCCTTGTCCCTGACCTGTACCCCAGCCATGTCATGCTTTAGAGTCTAAAACCAGCACTGAGAATTGGACCAGCACCAGAAACATTCAGGCAGCCAATGCAACCAGGCCAGAACCAGTCTTACATGTTTGGACCTTTGGATCTCAGTTATTAATCTAGTTGCCACATTCTGCAGAAGCAGCCATTTCTGAACTGCCTTCAAGGACAGCCCCATGTAGAGGACATTGCAGTAATCTAGTTGAGAGACTACCAGAGTGTTCATTGCTGATGTCAGGCTATTCCTATGCAGACAGGGGCACAGCTTGGCCACCAGCTGATGGTGGCAGAAGGCCATGAGACAAAGCCTTAGTTCCCTGGGTAAAGGAAAAACTTTTGCTGGCCATTTCCAAAGCCTTGGTTGGCTCCTGGCAGCTGCATAGCAGCTATCATGTGCTGCTAAGAATGAAATTCTCATGCATCCCCATGTGGGTGAAGATGAGCACAGCACTGGCTTCAGTTCTTGGGGAACTGTTACTGGGAGGGGCTGTCGAAGCTGGTGGAAATGCTGTTTGCTTCTCGTATTGGCACCTTCGTTTCACAGGCCGTCAGTTAGCAAATCGCAATCAGAGCCCGGGCCAGAGGCAAGTATTGCGTAACACGCACCAGCAAGAGGCCGCTGTACCCGCAGGGACTGCCTCTTGGAGCACAGCCCACCTCTTTCGTAAGCCAGGGAGAACCTGCTCTTCTGTAGCGCAATATGGCTCATGCTCATCTCCAGACAGAGTCACCCAGGAAAGAACCTTAGGATGGACAGATAGTTCAGATGAGATTGGCAGCTGGAGCTCTGCTGGAAAAGTGGCTGTGTCCTCAAAAGTCCTCTCTTTTTGGCAATCCACACATGGCTGCACTACTGGTCACACTTGGAAGAACTTCACTGATGTCTGTGGGACTTTATATCACAATGAGATCACAGAAGGGCAGAGTTAGAAGGGGCCATGAAGGCCATCTTGTCCAGCCCCTGCTGTTGCAGGACACCACGTCGCACCCTCCCACTCAGAGGGCTGCCCAGTTTCTTCTTGAATGTGCCCAGTGTGGGAGAGCCCCCCACCTCTCCAGGCAGCCGGTCCCACTGTCGTGTTGCTCTGGCAGTGAGGAAGCTTTTCCTGATGTCCAGCCTGAATCGGGGTTGCCACAATGATTATTCCCTGCCCTGCACTCTGGCATCAGTGAGAAGAGAGCCTGACCTTCCTCTTGTGACAGCCTCTGAGGTACTTCTAGAGGGATACCATGTCCCCCCTTAGTCTTCTCTCCTCAAGGCTGCACATGCCCAGTTCTCTCTGTCTCTCCTCACAGGGCAGTGCTTCCAAACCCTGGGTCTGTCCTCTGGGTAGAGGTTCAATTAACTCCTCCCTGGGTTCATGAGTGAGGACATAACTCACTCATGAGTTATGAGTTATGACTCACTCATGAGCTCACGCCCCATCGGTGCGGGTGCTCAAGGACGGGCTGGACATGCATGTGGTAAGTATGTCGTGAGCGGAGCCGGCTGGTGCCGGAGGTCAAACTAGATGGCCCAGGAGACCCCTTCTGCCTCGCTCTGTTTCTATGTTTCTATAACAGGGCTTAGATTGGGGCGGTCTCCACCACCATCATGCCTGGCAGAGCTTTTCCACTCATGGGGAGGGAATGCTAAATGATCCCTGCTCTTCTGTGCTGAAAATGTGGGCAGCTGGGGACACAGAGCCCTTGGAGCGAGGGTCTGCACATATGAACAGCTCCTAGTGATGCACACAGTTCCTGGCTGGACCCCCACATTGCTGTTTCCTGAGTGGCTGAGAGAGTTCTAACCGCGCCTTTATGTGGTGTTTTCCAAAAGTGGGTTTTGGGGGACGGCATGTGTCCAATAGCAGCTGCCAGTGGGAGCACAGAGCCTCAATTGGGTACCAACATCCCAGCAATATTTTAAGGAAAAAATGGAAACCAGAGCCTGTTTGCTGTATTTAAACTATTTTGGTGCTTCAATTCGCAATGTTCTACACGTCACTACATTTTTGTAAAAGTAGAGCAGTAATTTAAGAAAATGTTCCAAATTATTGGTAAGACTGATCTAGCAGACTGTGGCACATGGGCCCCCCGTCCTCCCAAAATTGTCCATCTATCTCCAGTCACCATCCAAACCTAAATGAGCTCAGATTTAACAAGAATGCTGCATTCTGGTTCCACAGACTATATTCTGGGACTTACTTACTCTCTATTATTGTTGAGAATTCTTTGTTTTTTATAACAACAACAACTAAATATGCAGGATCAACTTTTGTATAAAGCTTTCCATCAAGGCCACCCTTCCACTTCTATTTGCTGGAAGTGTTCATGGGAAAGTGACTGGGCCCCCTGTGAAATGTTGGAGGGTTTGCAGTGGAAACAAAGATGCCAAGAAAAGATGAGAGACATGGAGAGATGCATGAGGGACTGATTTATTCATGTTCTCATCCATGGAGGGATTGGAATGAGTTTTCATAGGTTAGAAACATGGTTTTGAAGGGTCATCAATCTTATAGAGCCTATACTGACATGTTCCTTCATCCATCACAGCTATGCATCCTTCAGCACTTACAAGACCACCATATCTAAAAAGAAGAAGGAGAAAGCATCAGCCAGGGTCTATCTTAGCTTGCAATCATCTTTGGTTCATCTTAGCTGCAAAGATCTGTGATGTAAACTTGTAAATATCTACCATTCCTCTACCCAGGGCTATCGAAACTACACTGGTAGATGAGCTACCTTGCAAAACGCTCACCTTGATTCAGGAAACCAACCTTGCATGGGGAATCTTTGGGTGGACAGACATAGGAAAATTCTTTTTAGCTGCTCCATATCTCAGCAGAAGAGTCTCCAAACAAGCAAGCTTGTCTTACCACATGTTGAAGTAAATAGAGAGGGGACAGGTGCCTCTGCGAAATCAATAACTGCTGAGTTCAACACTTTCCAACCGCACCACTGAGTTCCTTGGTACATAGGACTGCGGGCTTATCTTTCTTGTATAGGTGCACAACAAACAGTAGAGTTTTGGATTCTGTCTTAGTAAGAGATTAGAAGAACCAGGACAACCCCCAGTTGCTTCCTCAGTGCTGAATATCTGGAAAACCTGGTGCTGGGACTCGGGCCCAGCCACCTGGAAGCAGCCCCCACTGATCTGGCTCTCCAACCCCAGCAGGTGGCAACCTTGTCTGCTGGCTGTGTGCTGGGAGAGATCCCCTTCTGGATCCTGACCCATCACTGGTTCAGGTCTTCCAAAGCAGATGTTTGGCACTGAAAAGAGCCCTGAACCAACAGGTCTGTGTCCTCCCACTGCCAGGTGAAAGACTGGGGCTTATCCTTTGCTTTGAAGAGTGCAACACAAGGAATATTTGCATAAAAACGCAGAGTTATCTTCAGAACCGTCCACCTGTGGATCTCTCCATATGGCATGGCAATGAGAATCGGAATCTCGGTATGCCTTGAGAAGTTGGATCGTCGCCTTCCAAGTCTCCCTTGGCCTGTCCAACCAAAGGGAAAGGAAGGCCGCTCTGGCTTTTTGTCAGAGATCTTCAAAGAACGTAATGAACTCCTAGGCAACAGGGTGATTTTGCCTACCTAACGCAGCAGCTCATTTCCTTTTTGGTACACTCGCATTGCATGCACTCCAAGGTATTCCAGACTGCACCAAAAGGATACTTTGTTCCCGTATATGTATCGACACACCCATCGGGCTTCACCAGTTCCCCTGGAAAGAACAGCTCCTATCAGTTTCATATGCAGATGGACCCATAAAATCTCCAAATGATAATGCTACCTTGGGCCTTGTTTAGACCTTGCAGTGTCCCACAATCCTTTGCCTGATCAGTAGGTTCATTTCCCTAGACAACTGCAAACATTCAACTGAATTGGGTGACGGGATTACATAAAGCTCCTCATTTATGAAGTTGGGCTTCTACATGGGGCCCGCCTAACCAGATGCCTTTTAGATGATTTAGATGCATAACAATTTCATGTCTGCTCAAAATATAGATGAAGATGCCCTATTTGCAACCCCCAAATGTGAGTACAAATATGATGACATTTTAAATGTTTCACATTCTTGACCCTTATAAATGGCCCAAAAAGGCAAGGCACATAATAAAATGCCCCAGTATCTAAACTTAATTTGCTGTATATTCTCCCCATCAAGAAAAGACCATGATCTTAGTTTACTAAATTTAGCTGGTAGCAAATTATCTCTACAGTAACTCCTGGAACTGTGTGATACATGCTTAAGACACTGTTTAAGATAAATGTGTAAGATATTTTGGATACTGATACAAGAACCGTAACATCTGCACAGAGTGAAAGTGGAGGTTTAGTTATGGAATTCTAGTGCTAAACAGTTCCCAGTCAAATTGTTTGGATCAAGATTAAATATGGGGGCTAATATATATCTCTGATGAACCCCATTGGTGCCAAAATAGGTTTTTTCAAATTGGACCACACCTTCCTTGTAGTGTAATTCACTGAAAAAGGCATTTAATAAGATAGAGTGGTCTTTTATCAATGGAGGAAGAACTTAAGTTGTCCCACAGTTTGTTCCTCAAAATTGAGTCAAAGACCGATTTCAGAGCAATTACAGTGGTACCTTGGCTCACGAACTTAATTCATTCCACAACTCTGGTCGTGACCCAAATTGGTCATGAGCCAAGTCAAATTTCCCCATAAGGTTCAATGTAAAAAAAAGGTTAATCCATTCTGTAACTATTTTTTATCACAAAAATTTGAAGCAAAGTGACAAAGAACAATAAAGATTGCAGCCATCTCCCCCCCGCCCCAAGCATGATCACGGCCATCTCCCCCCACCCCCTGAGCATGACTGCGATTGCGATTGCACCCATGCAGGGAAGACAGGCGCAATTGTGATTATCACCTGATGCAGAGTTCACGACCTGAGGCAAATGTTTTCTGAAATTTCTGTTTGTGACCCTATTTGGTCATGAACAGAGGCATTTGTGAGCTGAGGTACCACTGTATTTCTGAAACTTCATGGAGTTTTCTGCCAAGAGAGTTAGATCTAGAAAATCATCAAGAGTTCATCTACCTTTCCCAACATCTGCCTGCTCAATCCCAAAACATTTTCATCTCTACCTAAGTAGCAAGCCTCAAGCTGAGATAGCTAGCATACAACTTTCCCACTATTGACACTAAACTCAATCCAGTTTGATGGCTCAAATCACCCTTTAAAAAAAGTTGGATCACAATTAACTAAGCCATGGTTAACCTGGTGTTATTCATATGTATGAGATGATGTGCTAAAAAAGTACCAGCAGTCTCTATTGGTCTTCAGAACTTCAGAAGTTGCTGGGTTCTTTTCTGTCTGAAGATAGGTAATCGGAGTACATATATCTGACTGGATTATCAGATCTCATTCTGACAAATAATTTGAATCCAGGAAAGATAAATTTTCAGAGGAATGATCCCTCCACAAACAATGTAAAGAAATAAGAATCCCAAATGCAGCAAGGATGCTGCAACTCACTGATCCTGAAAAAGCACCATTATTATTTAATAAGGAATCATCAGGTGCTTTCCACCCTCTTTGCACTGACTGTTTCTTCCTTTGTACCGGCAATATTTTGTTTTTTAAACAACTTGGGAATGTTCTTTTGCAGAGTATCACTTAGGACAGTTTGTTCTGAGATTAAGGCAGAGTTTAACGCAGAGACTTTTATGGGTTATTTACTAAAAACAGATAAGATTTCAGTAAGTCCTAGAAGGTTTTCACCTACAGAGGGACTTGGTCACTTCCAAGCCTATGTTCTACCAAAACCGGATTGGGGAGGGAATGAGAGCTCAACGTGTAATCAACAACAGTGCTTCCATGCATAAAGTGAAAGTAAATTTTGCACAGATTTCAAAAATCTGCTTCCATTAAATATTGAGAGGCTAATACAGCCCACCAGTTGTGTAAAGCCTCTGCCAATTAACCATCAGGTCTTTCAAACTTCTACTATAATTGAAGATGTTTTTCTCAGTATCATACATTGTTACTGGGGCCAATTTTAGCATTAAAATCACCAATGAAAAGTATATAAACTCTAGGAACTATGTATTCTAGATCTATTATATAATTAGCTCTTACTCTGGTTTGTGCATTTTCTAGGGGAAAATTGGAGGAATGTAAACATTAATAAACAAGAAGGACTTCGAGCTAAACTCAAGCAATCTAGCAACTGCAGTTTTGTCAGATGGGATCCAAGTATTTTGGGTCACCCCTGGGGCTATTCCTTCCATATTCCCTGTATAAGATTGTTCTGGTTCCAGCCAAAGAACCTGTTCTTTCGTTAGTGGCTCCATCTTCTCTGAGCACGAGAAGATGAACCTTCTGTATTTTCAGCCTGGGCAATTTTAGTTGCCAGATGTATTATTTTCCTTTAACTGAAGCTGAAATTTGTTCCATAAGTAACCTACAGTCCATCTACCATAACTATGACAGCTGGAGACTTCACTGGTGCTGAAGGGTAATACCATCCTTTATATGTTAATACACTTGATACAACAGCAGTGTGGACTGATTGCAGGGTTACGAGGAGAGGAAATGCCTGCCAAAGCATTTAGGGCTGCTTCCAGACACAAGGTCCCCATTGCTACCAACCAGAAGGCATTCTGAAGCTACTCCAACTTTTCCTCCTTGATACAGGGCAACTGGGATGATAAGGCAGAAACGTGTGCTAGATGTACTTAGCTGATGTTCTCTCCAGAAATATCCTAGCTGTACTTAGCCAAAAGGATAAAAGGGGATAGGAAGGGAGAGGGCACCATGAATGCATTCGGACTATCAGGATGCCACCAGCACCTTTCTTAGCACTTTCCACGCTCTAAGTAATCACTTGCCAAAAGGAGCAGGAGGCTAAAATTACCATCTTTAAACTCTGCTTTGTGCTTGGAGTGAAGGCAGTATCCATGGCAAAAGGCCAGTGTTGAGAGGAGGACCATCAGGCTGAAGAGGACTTTCTTAAAGAGGCAGAAGAAATGCAAGTCAGCTCAGGAACCCTTAATTTGTCTTTGTTCATTAAAAGTGTTATCGCCTGTTGTTTTTAAAGAAAGAAAGACTTCAGTTCTGGGAAACACTTCCCCACCCCTTATGATCATGTACAGATTAATGTGGTTTGTTTCTTTAACATAAAATGCAAAACATTATAGTGTTCATTATATCTGTTTATATTCCACCTTTTCTCTCTACTAGGACCCAAGGCTGCAAAGGGACCAGCTCGTGGCACAGGCCATGAAATCCGTTTAGAACTGTGTGGAAGGCATTCTCTTCATTCCCTGGGAATTCCAGTGATGTGTTCCTGCGCTTTGCCATAACTCATACCCTTAAAAAATGTACTGCTCTTTTTTTGTTCTGTCTTCCTTCTTTTTGTTTTAGTAGTTTAGCCACAAATAGACCCAAGAACAGCCCTTTGGACAAAGAAGGATTTGGTAACATTTTTAAGAAATATATTATCTTCTTAACATAAACAGAATACAAAAAGAAGAAAAGTATATGTAAAATAAAGCAAAATAGAATAAAGTCGCCAAGGGATTTTAAACAAGTACAACCAATGTATTCAAGCCCACAAATTTGAAGAGACCATAAAGATGTTTCCATCATTCAGCACTCTATGAAAGTTCAGAAAAGTGGGAGTTGTTATTCTATACAGCAACAAATTTTCCAATTGCTTTTTATCAATTGTAAACTACTTTTTAAAGAACTCTCTTTTACATCCCATTAATTGTACTAAATATAATAGAATTTACATTTGTCATCAAATTCTTCATCCAGTCTTCTATTTACATAATTAGTTAATTTTGCCATCCCTGCATATTCTGACAGTTTATTTCTCCATTCTCCAATTGTTGGAGATTCTGATAATTCCCACTTAGAAGCGATTGTAATTCCTGCTGCAGTTGTTATATACAGGCTTGGTAACATTTGAAGCACCTTTTCTTCAATAAGGACACTACTACCTTTCCAGTATTTTTAGTAAATTCAAAACAAGCAAACGATTTTCCCAAAGAGAGAGAAAAAACGTACTCTGCTTACCATTCTTCTTTATCGATGCAAAGACAGCAACTTCTTCTTGGGGAAAGAATGGCCGCTGCAGCAAGTGTTCCTCGCTAACCAGTATGAGGACGTGATTTTCCAAATTTATAGAAATGCAGAAAAAAAAAATAAAAACGAGAACGCCCTGTTGCGTTTCTGCTCCGGGTGAATGCGTCCGCTCCAGGTGCATACACAAAGCCATGTGTGGGAAGGAAATATTTGCTTCAGATTGAGTCAGTATTTGTATGACGCAGAAATACCAGCGGTGAGTCTTACCACTTTTGCAAATACCTATAAAAAATTCACAAGGATAATGAGAGGAATTTGTGTAGGTGATTCTGTTGGGAGGGATAAGGCTTGCTGGGCGAAGTGCTAAGAATGGGGGCATGGCCCAGCGTTCCCCAACCCTCAACCCAAATGGCCTGAAAGGGAAGGATGATCAAAGGGTGACTGACAGAAGCCATGATTACAGTGCACAAGGCAAGGTCAACATTTCCAGCTTCAGCAGAGGACGAGTCCAAAGGGCCATTCTTGGGTCTATTTGTGGCTAAACTCCTAAAAGAGAAAGAGAGAGAGATCAGTGCATTTTTGAAGGGATGCGTTGTGGTGAAAAATGCACATAACTGATCTGTGTGGGCATCTCTGGGGGAGACAGATCCTTTTTCTCTACCCTCTTCAGTGATCCCTGCTCTTTCCAGCAATGAAAGAAAAATAGCCAGTAGCCAACAAGTATTTGAAATACGATCTCAAGTGCTTCCCCCTCTGTGGACTCCAGCTTGGACATCCAGCATTTCTCACGCCATGCAGAGGAATATTCCTCGTTGCAATGCTCTGAGCATCGCTTTGCTTGCATGGGCCCTGTTGCAACGGTCCTGTGGTTTGCCTCTCCTTTCTTGGGGGCTGGAATATACATTGAATGCTTCCAATCTGTGGCCCATTGCTTTGTTTCCCATATTTGCTGACATATTTTGTTAGGGCTTGGACTGATTCATTTTCTGCAGCTTGGAAGAGTCTAACCCTAACCCTTCTGCTCCAGGTGGATTATTGCTTTCAGAACGGCTCTCATTGCACTTTCTAACATCATAGAATTCTACTTTAAAAGATCTGTCATCCTTTCATCTCTTCTGTGTATTCTGTATATTCTTTCTGTTTTTCTGTATTTCTGTTTTTCTACCTTCTCTTTCTCTTCTTCTTGCCTGATAGTGTGTTTCCTTGTTTGTCTTTTAGCATCCCTAATATAGGTTTGAATTTCCCTTTGATTTCTAGGATCTTCTTGATAAGAGGTCCCTTGTTTTCCCTCTTTAGTTGCTCTCTCTCATTTTATTTTATTTTATCTTTGCACAATCATTGTAATGCTAGCATACAGACCAGAATAAAAATATAGAGGTGCAATGTGCCTTCAGATTTTAATTGAGAACAAAATAAGTGTGTTTCATCAACCAGAAGTCTGGGAAACACTAAATTAAATTCTCCTTTTGCAGTTATATCTCCAAGACCATACTCTCACAGTAGCTAATACTGGGCTTACTTCCATGTATGTGTGGCATTTCATTACTTTCATTGCAAAGGCCCATTCCAGAAGAGCCTAATTAAATACCTTGGCAACTGGGAGCATCTTTCAGGCTTTTAAAACTGCTAGAAATTAGTGGAATAATGTTATGTTTGAATTAACACAATTTTGTGTATGAATTAATATTTAATGTTAATAGGCTGTAGAAGGAAACAAGGGTGAAAGTACAGTTGAATTTTCTTTATGTTCTTTTAAACCATTATCTCCTTGCAATTTCTCCCCTGCAATTTATTGTGAAATAAAGAATTGGACAAATGCGTCCATGCCCCTCCGAATGAAGGCACAATCCTATGCTTAGGATACGACGGTGCAGAGGCTGTAGATGTAGAACTTGGGTTACACCCACCGCTGTAAAGGCAATGCAAACTAGCTTTTGCCCACCCCGCTCCCCCTCCTCTGTGCAAACACTCGGCCTTGCAAATTAGCAGTGCGGTTCCAGAACTTCTGCTGTTTGGAAATACATTTTTGTGAGCTTCCAGTCAGGTGAGGGTGGGAGCCCAGGATCTAAGGTCAGGATTGCAGGATTCCACTTTCATAAGCCACCTTAAAAAGAATGGGGAAGGTCCCAAATACTTCACATCGCATTATAAATACGACCCAAAAGCATTCCTATTGAATGGAAACCCTTTAATGCAAATGGGACCTAATTTAGCCAAGACAAGCTTAAGCCCTATTCATTTCAGTGGGTTAATTTTGAGCACTGGTAAGTGTGGAACCAAACCAAATAACTTCTAATAGTCACAATACCTTTTAACCTCAAAATCCAAAGAGGGCCTTAAATATTAGTGGGACATCCAAATAAAGAAACCTTCTTTCTTAGAATACAGAAGATTTAGGTTCCTGATGTATGAGGAATGAAGCAGGAATGAACCCCTTAAGTCCATCACTACAGTTGCAAGCCCCTCACCCCTAAAATTGTTTCAGGAATTGAATTGCAAGTCTCCAAAACTTCCTAGCCAGTTTCTTATGGGGATAAAAACACCCTTCTCAGTTGATCAGCATGGATCATCTTGGAAGCAGGGCTGGGAAAGCTCTTCTCTCTCTCTCTCCCCCAGTGTGTGTGTGTGTGTGTGTGTGTGTGTGTGAGAGAGAGAGAGAGAGAGAGAGAGAGAGAGAGAGCGAGCGCTCTCCCAGTAACTGCCTGAGCGCAACTGATGGCCAAGTGAGAAAGGGGGCAGGTGTGCTAAACTGAATGAATCTGGCTTTGCTGACCTGGGAGAACGAACATGTACATGTGGATGGACATGCTCCCTCCTTTCGGATTCCACAGTGGCTGATGCTCTGCCCTGAGATGTGGCCCTTGGCAGAATCTTAACGCCTTCCTGGATATTTGCTTTGCAAATTTGGGTGTGCAGAACCCCAACAGGATGTTCTCAGAGGCCAACAGGATGAGGCAGCGTCCCGCATCACATCACGACACTTTAAACATTCAACTTGTGAATGAAAGGACGTCAGCATCAGAAAGAACAAATATTTGTTGGCTGCATTTGCAAGTCAGAATAATAGCCCATCTTGGCAGGAAGTCTTGACTGACTGGCTGTCTGCCATGCAAGCAGTCCTTGCTACTATTTCAGCCAGATTTGTGAATCCACATTTGCCCCGGTACAGATGGGTGGGTGCACCGGGGGGGGGGGGGGGCCCGGGGGGGGGCAACATGCAGGGCTTGTCTTCTGGAAAGGTTCACCAGGTTCCCACAAAGGCTACAAGTAAGCCAATTTTCCCCTTTGGCTATACCTGACAGCTGTCAAAAGGGGACCTGTCAGATGCATCCAAAGGCACATGTGTTCTTAGCTTGTGAAAAGGGGCATTTTTATCTGCTTTGCAAGAAAAGCCTCATTTTGTTTGTTTTCCCTTTTGTCCTTGTTCCCAAGAGTCTAAGATCTCAGGAACACACACAGGCCAAACACACCGCCTTTACAGGTGTTGTTGCCTTTGCCAGCTGCATTTTTCAAGCAGGGTTTTTATAGGGTCTAAAATGGGGAAGGACATTATGCAGGTATATTTTTTATATCTCTATGGTATCCTACCCTCCAAAAAAAGGCCCTAAAGAAAATCTATCAAGAAGCTGGAAGAGCTACACAATGGCATGTGACTGGGAAGTGAGGGAGCTCTTCTTAGCAGTATCCTGGCTCTCTTCTTAAATCCTTTCCCCTGCTAAACATGACTGAACGGCAGGCATTCGGGTCCAGCCTCTTCACGTGTCGGGAGAGGCAACATGCAGCTTGGAAGGTTTTCATCAAGCAGCCACCATCCCGTTCCCTCCTTTCCCTTTCCAGAGAACCCCCACTGAGCATAGGGGCTTCCTGAGGCTTCATGGCCTCTCCTTCTGGATCAGATCCCCCCTGACTTCGGGATACCAGGGGCTCTGCGTCGTGTTCACCCCTTCCCTTTTCAGGCTGGCTCCACTGGGAAACAGCCTTCTGAAGGACCGTGGCACCGACCCGGCAAAGGAGCTCTCCTGCGGTGTTGCTCTTGTGATGTGCCACCGAGCTGCCTCCAACTTGTGATGATCCTCCAGAAGGCCTCTCCTCGCCAGCCCTGCTCAGCCCTTGCAACCTTTACAAAGTCAATCCATTCCACATGTGGAGAAGTCTGTTCTTTCCTGTACTTCAGGAGGACAGAAGAAACAATGCAAGCCCATGTGTGAACTGGTCCTCCATTTCTGTAAGGTCATCCCGCACACTGAACGGCTCACACAATTATCCTGTGAGTGTCTTGTTCTAGCAGTGGAGAAAAGCGTTTCTCGGGGACCCAGGGAGTTGCCGCAGACCTGATTCTCAGAGGCCTTGCCTTCCTCCGAGAGGAGCCTCACTATCAGACCGCCTAAGCACCTGTACTGCTTCCTCTCAAGCGTGTCGGGGAAAAGCAGCAGGCTGATCCGCTGATGCTGAGCTCTCTGGGAAGTCCGCGACTGCTCTTCCACGCTGCTAACCTCATGCGACCGGCAGAGAAGCACAGGTAATGTGGGTGGATGCTGAAAAACTTGGAGGCAAACAGCGAGCAAGAAGCAAGCTCAGATGAAAGATATTCAAGGTGTACATTTCTTTCTACAAAGAAACTCAGACAGTGCCTGAATTATTTTATCTCACGCACATGCCTTCACTTTACTTTGCCTCTCCCCCGTCCTCTTATTTTCCGCTGGGATTGCTGAAGGTTCCCATTTGGGTGGGTGGGACTCCACGCCTAGTTCTGGAGACCTTGAAGCAGAGGGAGGAATTGCATTTGCCTCACATGTTGATGTACTTAATCAACTTATAGGCCTCGGAGAGTTTCCAACAGAAATGGGAACAAAATTTGAATGCAAGCTGCTAATTTTGTACTTTCAAACCAATACACGCCAATGAAAACTCAGCTGCCCTTCAAAATAAGCACTTTTTGGAACTCTGTGATGGAGTTCTCCAGGAGAAAATGTTCACTTAAAAGAATCTATATATTAAGTGCACACAAAAATGTGTTTGTCAGTGAAAATGTTAAAATGCATCATATTAGGAAAATTGCTTGTAAAATATGTATATTTGGCAAACACTCCCCACCCCCAATGTATTCAGGGCAAAACAAAGTTAAGCCTGAAAAAATGGAAAATGGAGAAAAATGCAGAACTGACAGACCCCTGCCTACCAAAAGCCTCAGCAAATGACCTGATAGCAGGCTCACCAGGCTAAATGAAGCGTCCTAAAGATCTGTTTGCGCAACAGGTGGGCAGACGACACGGAAAAGCTAGCAGGTCGGTGTTACGGAGTTACTATAACTACCAATGGCAATATCGCATTGCTCTTACACTTCCTGTTTCTGTTCCTGTCCTTTAC